CCAGTCAATAAACAACTTAGGTTGGAAAAAATTGGTGACAAAGGTTTCTCAACTGATTCTGGTCCGTTGAAGGCCCAATATAGCCCAAAATATTTCCCCCATGAATCCCCCCATGGCAAGGTCTCATTTTCCACAAAAATCCAAAATGGCCGCTATTGAATGGGGTGGGTGGACTTGAAATCCATAACTTGGGAACCCAATGTCACAGAAACATGTTTTAAGATGTTTTAAGTATCAACTCCTATTAAGTGAGTGATCCCCAATCTTTTGCAACTAGTCTCAAGGTCACGGAGGTCAAGGTCATGACCTTATTGCAAGGTCAAAGCATTTTTGGAGGAAAAAAACCCGTAATGTCTATATGACAGTTTCCCAATGTCACAGAAACATGTTTTAAGTATCAACTCCTACTAAGTGAGTGATCCCCAATCTTTTGCAACTACTCTCAAGGTCACTGGAGGTCAAGGTCATGACCTTATTACATGGTCAAAGCATTTTTGGAGCAAAAAAAACCATAATGTCTATATGACAGTTCCCCTGTTGTCATAGAAACATGTTATAAGAAACAGTATCAACCAAGTTGGACACTGCCAAACACTTGCAACTATTTTCAAGGTCACCAGAGGCCAAGATTATGAAAAAATTTCAAGGGCATAGTATTTTCCAAGTGAATTATATCATATTATCTATAACTTGGTAACCGTCCGTCACTAAAACATGCATGTTTAATGTATCAATTCCTACTAAATGAGAANGGAGGAAAAAAACCCTTAATGTCTATATGACAGTTTCCCAATGTCACAAAAACATGTTTTAAGTATCAACTCCTACTAAGTGAGTGATCCCCAATCTTTTGCAACTAGTCTCAAGGTCACTGGAGGTCAAGGTCATGACCTTATTACAAGGTCAAAGCATTTTTGGAGCAAAAAAAACCATAATGTCTATATGACAGTTCCCTTGTTGTCATAGAAACATGTTATAAGAAACAGTATCAACCAAGTGGGACACTGCCAAACACTTGCAACTATTTTCAAGGTCACCAGAGGCCAAGATTATGAAAGAATTTCAAGGGCATAGTATTTTCCAAGTGAATTATATCATATTATCTATTTTTTGGTAACCGTACGTCACTAAAACATGCATGTTTAATGTATCAATTCCTACTAAATGAGAAGTCAACAATCAATTGCAACTAATTTAAAGGTCACCAGAGGTTAAGGTTATGACCGCTAATTACAAGATCGTAAGATTTTCAAGCGAAATTCCATAATTTCTCAATTACCAAATGTTACAGAAACGTGTTTAGCATGCCAATAATGCCTTGTAAATGGGGTCCTGTTTATCATTTGCAACTATTTCCAAAATCTAGGAGGTACAGGATTGACCTTATTGCAAGGTCATCATGAAATTTAATGAAAATTTGATTCTAGGGTGATCTAAGTACAACACATAAGATTGTTTAAGAGCAAAATATGCATCTCCATTTTTCATGACAAATGTTACATTTTATAGAGCGACCTGAGCCCATTGTTGTTTGATGTAAATACTTTATTTTAATACCGGTACTATTGGCATAAGCTCTCTTCTTGTCTGCCCAATGATTGACCTAAAGCCTTCTTGTCCCACCTTTGTACATGTATGTATGATCTAATTTGGAGTATCTGTGTGCCATTGTAGAGAGGAGATAGTGGATAAAGCACATTTATTTGCCCATTTAATCAGTATCTGTATTTGGTTGCTTTTATGACAACCAAAGGCTAGCCATTACTGAATTGCCAATGGTAAAATGTGTTGATTCTTAATGGTTGATTCAATACCTATAGCTTCGACTCTGCTCCATCATGGATGGGTGAGGTCTAAAAGCTATACCCTCTCCCAAGCCTACTGAGCATGCTGTCGCAAGTCGATACTTGGGTTAATTGGGTAATTTTAATGTGCTGAGTGGAAAATTAGTAACTTGTCTTGTGTGAAGACAAACTTGTAGATGGTGCCCTTTGAGCGTCATTTCAGCATCTGTTTTCCTAAATATCCCAATTCTTGGTCCTGCAGTGGGATTCTGAAATAAGCAGCAGGCCACTTGCTGGGGAGACCTTGTTCACCACAAGTGAACTCTCTATTAGAAAGTGTAATATGTTTTGGTCGACAACATTTAAAGCTGCTGTTTTTTGGTGTGGTCATCTGTCTCAAAAGTAGTTATATGTTTTCATATCATGCCAGCTCCTGTCAGATTGGAGAACTAGTACTGAGACATGATCACAAACTGGAAGTTTTTATCAGGTCTGTTAGGATAGGAAACTGGCTACAGGCTTTCACCATCATCCTTCGTTTACTTTGCTGCATCTCATTCGACAGTCATTATGACAAGCTAGCAGTCTCAAAAGGGGAGAGGGGCTTTTTTTCTGAAAAAAGTGGACCTAGAAATATTTGTGTACCTAGATAAAATTTTACCCAGAATGCCACTGGCTACAGGCCTGTATTTGATGGTCAAAGCACCAAGGACAAGGGACGTACAAACAGTTGTAGCTGTGGGCGAGGATCTAACACGTACGTAAAGGACTTTGTATCCTTCAATTTGAAGCTCATCATGTAACTAGTCTCATGTAACTAGCCTTCTAACAAATATCAGTTGATCAGGTGGTAATAAATGCTTATTAATTGTTGTGCATTAATGCAGACTGCCTTATCCTCAAGTTGCATTGAAGTAAATAGTCCAACTTATCTGCAGAAGACACATTTGCCTTTTAACCACTGTCCATCATGCAGTCAAATTGCTCCTTGAATTTGTCCAGGAAAATGTATTTCTTCTCTGAAAGGGACTCTTTTATTTGACCCATATCCCACTACATGTAGACCTACTGTTAGTATAGAGACCCACAGCTAGCAATTGTGATAAACTTGTGGCTAGTAAGTTTGAAGATTTGAGAGAAGCACTGGAAGTGTATATCAATGAGAAATCAAGATTTGATGTTTTTTAAAAGCTGGAGAGATGTTCAAATGGTGTAGCAACCTGTCTTCTGGGCAAAAAGGTAAATACCATAAAAAGGTGCCATTCCACCTGGTTATATTTCCCCCCAGCCTGTGGCCAATATAAAACGTCTCATTCTAATTCCATAATATTTTATCTAAATGTTTATGTACCCAAAATGAATTAATTCCCCCATTGAAGTATTATAGAATGCTGTAATATTCCAATTTTTTTACAGGTCTTATATGAGGCTACAATGGTTATTGTGTAATAGGCTGTCTTTGCCCAGTATGAAACAAGTTTATGTCATGTTATTAAGCTTTAAAGGTCTCCCACATGTATCTGAAGTTTTTGAAGAAATGTAATTGCTCGACTCCTCCCTACAATAGAATAGGAAGTTTTGAACAATGTAGTTCTGACATACAGTGGAATATTCACACAAGGTTCAGGTACTTGATGTTTTTTTTTCACTTTTAGTTTCTGTATAATGTAAAACACAGCTTTATTTAAACATATATCTGTATAACACTTAGTGATTTTGAAATGGGTGCAGTATACCCTTAAGCCTTGTAAACCGAATGTCATTGATTTAAATGAGTACCATGCAGTAGTGCTGATGCCTTTTCTGTAATGAAATATTCTTTAAACAATCACCTGTGTTGTTTTTGATTAGTGTAAATTCAATTTTTCTTAAATGTTATAACAACCTTGTTATAAGGATATGACCCTGACTGCTGGTGATCCTAGAAATAGTTTCAAATGATCGGCAATATGTAACTTAGTATGAATTGATACTTTCAATTAACATGTTTCTGTGAAATAGGGTTATCAAAATATAGACATGATGGCATTTTGTTCAAGCTTAAAATGCCATGACCTTGAAAATAAGGTCATGACATTGACCTCCGGTGGCCTAGAAAGCATTTACAAATTATTCGCAGAACCTCACTTAGTAGGAAATGATATTTTAACATGCTTCTGTGACATCCAATTACAAAGGTTTAGATAATATGGGAATTTTCTGCTCGAAAAATGCAGTGTCCTTGAAATTAGGGTCANACCTCAGTATACATAGAATTATTTCCCCATTGTTTTGGTCCCTTTACCATATTTTTATTTTATAATAAAAATCTTTTCAACAAAGCGTTTGTTTTATCTTGTTCTACATATTAAATCACTTATAAATATATGTTTCTAAAAGAATCATTTTAAATAGAACGTTCACTGTCATCCCATCGGTGATTGTAATGCGATGAACGTTGGACTTGTATTACCATCGTAGTAAAACGTGAGACTAGTGACCCAGATTATGCATTAGGTGAAATTAGGTCACAGTTTTGATTCATGCATATGCAGATTACGTCCAGTTGTGACCTATGATAGGACAATGCGTCCTAGGCACCGCCATGTTTTACCCTACGCGATGTAACCTTGCATTACTTAGTGCGGGGGTTTGAAACTGAACACCGTTTTCTTGTGCATCTTTCGAGAAGGAACTCCACGGATTCCGGTGGCAAAATGCTCTTTCATATTAGTTCTGATTCGACCTTTCATCCACGTTATGTGGATGTTAAACAACATCTCTCAGGCTCCAGATGACGTCATCACTTTACGCGCCGTCCACGGATAGACCCGTGACAGCAGTGACCTCTAGCGTTAGATGCTGACTTGCCTGTTTTGAGAAGTTGGCTGTAAGATTATGAGTTGGCTGTAAGATTTTTTAACGCTGTTAAATTTTATGATTTGGCTATTAGATTTTTTATCACTGTTAAATTTTATGGGTTGGCTATTAGATTATTTTGACCACTGTTAAATTTCTTGTAGGCTGTTAGAATGCCATTTGGCTATTAAATTGCAAGTCTGATTTTTTGCGTGGATGGCGTTCCATAGGCACGTAAATTATTTTTTTACTCTCAAATGGGGCTGTTTAACGCAGAAAGGGCGCCGTCCAGTGTAAAGGGGGCTTTAGCTATAATCAGATGGATCCAGTTCAGCCACCCGTGGTCTGGTCTCCCCTTCTACCTAACTAATAATTACGCCATGCGTTTCTGTTGAAAAAGAAGCAGAAGAAGAAAAAGAAGAAAAGTTGACCCATGTGAAGATGAGTGTAATATGACTAATATAACACGTAGACTTACAATTTGTAAATAAATGGCCTTTTTTATGTAAACTCCTTTATCCCATTCCTTGTTATCATTTTCTCACACACCCACACCTCATCTCCTTCACACCTCTCTTTTCTGAATATTTTTATAAATAGACTTACGTAAGCTTGGGTGGATGGAGGGGGGGGGGGGGGGGGGCGTAACCACTGTGTCAACTTTGGTGTAAACCCCCCCCCCCCCTGCAATCCCACACAAATTCACGCACACACATCCCGTTTCCTTTTAGAAAGTGTCCAATTTTGCACCTGAATTATATTGACACTAATTTCCGCAAACACGTTTACAATATAAAGAAGAGGAATACGTAAGTCCTCAGGCAGTCCTCTCACAGTAAATATTAGGAATAGAAGTTCAATACAATAGATCAACGAAAATGAAAGATGTACTGCTGTATTGATTTGTACCCGTAGAGTTTTGGCAGGTGGGCTCCTCTGTTTAAATAACTAGAGAATACACAGTGTGGGAAATACTGAATTGTTGAAATAATAAAAACGCACTTACACTGTACGCACAAACCCGTGACCTTTTATTTGGGGCAAATTTGAATTTGGTTCACAAGAAAAAATTTGACAAATCCACAACATATGATTGACTTTAGTTTAATTGCACTTGCGTGTTATAGTGACCGCAGAGGCAGTTTTGAGTGACCATCATGTAGACAGTGTTGGATGGAAGTGGACAATATCTCGGAGGAAAACTGACCACTCTTTCTGATCAATTTGATACAGATAGTGACCAGCAAGGTTGGTGAGATTTCCTATTTTTTTTTTTTTTTTGATAAATGTATTTTGCAAATAGATTTTTGCTGTTCATTTTGTGATATATGCATCTAATGATAAATGAATAAGATGATAAGATGATTGTGAGAACTGCTGTTTGAAGCGGAGGTTTGAAATGTATTCCAAATTGATGGGTGAAGTTCATAGTTACGCATTTGCATGAGGTGGCTTAGATTTTTTAAAATCTACATGTATATGTACAATTTTTTTAGATGTTGATTTTTAAAATTCTAAAATGAAACATGTTACATGTTTTTTACGTTCAGAATTAAAATTGTTGATATTATTTTGACCAGGGTTAAATGAGAACACAATTGTTTTTAATTAATTGTAGTTTGTTGACCGATAATTGACTGATTTAATGAAGGAAGTATTACAATGTATTAAGAGCGGAGTTATTAGTGCTGGTATATTGATTGATTTATGGGGTCAGTACCGAAAGGTGCCACTATTTCTGCACTTAATTATAGGTCAGGTAAACATATACGGTAATTAATCTGATATTTAGAACACCTCACTAATAAAACAATATTCTATTCAATTTTTATGTACACGTATATGAAAAGAGTGTGTTTTGACAATAAGTGAACTTATTCACTTTGCTGCACTTCGCTGAATTCAAGTAATTTTTTCAGTTGTTACAAACAAAAAGTTACATTGCGAAAATGAAAAATTAATTATGTGCTAATTTACTTAGTAATTACCAAAAGGTAGACCTGATTGGTTTGTTTTATGATCCTTTGTGCTAGGTAGGGATCATTTCTACCTGATGGGCCTAAGGACAATGATGAGGTAAGTATGTGTAATGCAAGACTATGATATTTTAAAAAGGTACTTTTGTAACTTAACTGGTGACCATGTGTGAAAAATAAAATTTTGTAATTTGTTACAATTACCTAGTTGAATGGAGGATGCTTGAAACTTGGACGTAATAACGTTATTATGTCCAAGCTTGAAACATTAAACAGGCCCGTAGCCAGCAATTTCAAAGGGGGGGTTCTTTTTCTGAAAAAGTGGACCTTTTAATGAAAAATCCCCATGTACTTATGTCAAATTTTACCAAGAGTGGACCTTTTTGAGCACAAAAGGGGGGTTCTTTCAAACCCCCCGAACCCCCCCTGGCTACGGGCCTGTTAAAGCTGGTATAATTGTAAAAAAAAGTAAAAATATAGAGATCATGATCTATGATAAGACAAAGATTACCTCAACAGAACATACAAATTTGATTTCATTCCTGTAAAATATCCCCTGAAATGGTAGACAAATTAAAAGGTAAAGTTTTTAAAAGAGAGTTTCACAAGGCAAGGTTTCCTAGCTTCTTTAACTTTGTTGTTGTTCTTCGTGGATACCATGGGAAATAAGGAGGCAGAGCATGAGAAAAGAAAGAGAAAGACAGAAAATGTGCCAGGAATGAAATGAGAGAAAGAAAGAGAGAGAGAATTTATGTCAATCACAAGTGCAATGGTCCTCCAACATAAACATATTTCCAGTTCATTTCTTCTTTGCTTACACAGTTTAATGAGGTGAACGTAAACATCACAGTTAGGGACAATATGACCCAACGTTATTGCGATGCATTTGCTGGGTTGACTTGGTGTTAGTCATGTCGCACAGTTTGAGTCAAATTTGGGATAAATTGATGAAAATTATCCACTTTTCAATTGCTATTATTTAGAGAATAAGAGTTTATAAAAGAGGATTCACTTTGGCAAACTGAATTCAAAGTAAAAATAGGATTAAAAATGTTTATACCCCAAAGTGGATGCATATAAATAAATAAATAAATTGCTGGTGCAATACAACTATCTTAGTTTTGCATCTGGCTTACACAACGTATATTCATATATGTAAGGTTTTGTAGCAGAGGAGTGCTTATAGAGGGTAGGGAATACCTTTCACGTTCCGTGTGATTGTCCTTATTTTTCGAGCGTGATGCGTTATTTGAGCCCAATATTCTGCATGAAATGCAATTCAGGAATTCTTGGTGATTGGTGATAGACCTGAATATGTCTTGGTAATTGAGCTATTTTAATCTTGGTGTTTGGCGATTAAGGGGGTGGGTGGGTGGGGTGGGGGGGGTATTCCCTACCCTCGTTATAGCTGAGGGTCAAAGATGAAGAGTACTTAACTAATTTCTACCTGTTTCTGTGTGGATTATATAATTGCCAATTATCTCTGATTTTTAAATCATTTTCTAGGGTTACCACTTCACAACTGTGGCAAATTTTGGTAGAAAGTTGAGGTGGAAAGTTTCATGTTTATTTTTATGTTTGCTTTTCCTTTTAATATTGCATTACTGCATTACCCAACAAATATGTTATTCCATCTAGCACCAGTGCACATGAGGTATGACTCCTATTAAATTTTGCCCTCTCATATCTACTGGGATTTCCAAAAAAATTATTTTGTCAATTTGTATTTGGAAACCTCATAAATAGGAGGTCATGCGCTGTCAGTCAAAATAAAGCAGTGACGTTTGCCCGTGTGACACTTAGTACATTTACACTGAGGCAATGGGATCTGCCAGGGTACAATCCAGGATCGATTTGGTTCACACTCTTGAGTCCTGTTCAGATGTGGCACCTATTGAGTAAGAAGTTGTTGACTACTGGTCAGTGTGAATGAATTTGTCTGTTACAGTTGTGCCCTCTAAATTTAATTACCATGTGCCAGTATTATTTTGAGCCATCTTTGCATTTCTGGTATATTAATTAATTTGGTTTTTTGGTGATGTGTTTCTGAAGTGAAGAAGTTTGGATTCAAGTAAATGTCTAAACGCATCTTTGTATTATTCCAATGCTTTCGTTCAAATACCTGTCGAAGTTGTTGTGCCATTTTGTTTTCTCAAACATAGTATGCAGTTGCCCCAGGGTCAGGCACTTAGCCTCAGGGAGTTATGAAATTAAATTGTGTGTATTTTCTTTTGTGTTTGATGAATGCTATAGTTTACCCAAGTATCGGTGTAAGTGTGATTTTGGATCTATTCCTGCTGTAATTACCACTCTGGCAAGTCTGTCAATTCCTGATATTAGAAATACAGAAGGCAGGGACCCTTTTTACTATAAGAACTGCCCTGCTTTAGGGTTATAAAAATTCAGTTACTCTTATACATGGTTTGGGCATGGTTATTTTTTTTATTAAGGGCCTTGTTGTGTATTGTTTGTTTGCTCCACTGCTAGGTGTATCAATAGTAATATTTTCTGTCAAAACTTTATAAGGCCAAGCAAGGAAGGATTTGGCTTCAATTTCAAATGGGCAGTAGTCAAGAGGACAGAAACCATGGGTAAAAGAGACAAGATTGTGGATGAATAGCAATTATAAGTCCTAAACAACCCAGAATATGATTCAACATACATATCTTTATAACTTAATGTTAGTTTAAATAAAATATTTAAGAAAGTGATGCCTCTAGATTGCAGGCCTGGGACACTGCGAAAATTTTCTAAAAGAGATGATTTAAAGAAAAATGTTATTCCCCTTGGCCTGCAAAGCATTGGACACTGTAGAATTAAGGGGCTTAGTGAACACACTTTTATATAGGGTGTCAAAGGCTTTAGGGTTGTACTTACAAACTGAATCCATGATGACGAAGAAACCTTTCTGTTTCTGACACCTTGGCTTAACAATAACTGCAACATATTCACGGAGGACAGAAGAAACACATTGTTTTCTAATGTATTTGATAAATGCAGTCTTTCAAGGGAAAGTGACAACAAGTTACAATTTTTACATAGAATGGTGATGGAGAAATTACATTGACATCTGTGAACACGATAACAATGAGAAAAAGTTCGAGGACACAGATTGTTGTGTTTAAGTGAGCAGCAAATTTTGATCAACTATGTTTTAACTGAAATTATGACGAACCACAAATAGTTGACTGCTGATAAAGCAACTGAAGGTCAAGCTGTATTTGGAAAACATAAAACGTCAAAGGAAACACAAGACGTTTCACAACAAGCAAACCTAACTGGTATCCATGACAACTGAAGATATTATGGGATATGGCTGAACCATCTGCATTGAAAAAAAAGGGCATGTTACAACTACGACAACTGAATATCATTTCAGATAATGTGATAGCTATATTTAGAGAAACCTTCGGAAAATAAGTTTTATTTTATTTTCAATTCACAGATCTTCGACAAATGAAATTCATTTCAGGATAAATATTGTTTAATCTTAGTTTACAGGTGCATGTATATCTATTAAAAAGACTCACAATCATTATATATATTACATAAATAATCTTAAGACTTAAGCTCATTATAACAAGTCACATTGATATATATTTTTATATTTATATTATTGATTTATTTTTCATTATACCTCACGACTAAGGGAAAATTGAAATATTTCCTGTTTTAAGATAAAAGTAGACTATATATATTATATTTACAATAACTACATTAATCATATTTATTTATTAATAAAAATAATTGGTTGCTTAGTAGAGGTGTTATATTTGGGAGATTTTACCCTTATAATGTGAAGCTGAACAAAGGATGCCTTCATCCTGCAAATTTCTATAATTTACATATAATTTACACATTATTTCATCTGGACAAAAGACGTATCTATAAATATTTAAGAAGAACATCTGTTGAAAAGGAACATAATTACTTTCATACTTAGACATTATATTTTGTGAAGAGTAGTATCTAATATTGTCATTTAAACATTTGATTATTGAAAACATTTACCGTTTATTAAAACCACGCAAATAATCTGCCTGTAACACATTTTCTTTTTTGTAGCCTTACAATTCCTTGATTGTATGATTACAACTAACTGTTATCATTTATACACGTCTACAATCTTACTCTCAGTTTTGAATGCTTAGATATTTATCAAACAACCATGACAAAATGGGTAACTGAAGTCTAGCCATCTTTATAACTGGTTCAGTATCCCTAGTAAACACTGATTGATTGTAGAATAACAGGGCTTTAGACAAGAGGCAG